TTTCTATTTTTTTTTTTTTTGCCTCTTTTACGACGTTAATTCGGATTTGCTAAATCCAAATGGGAGGCGAATTTTAGAATTGGCTTCCGCCGTCACTCCCTTGCTCATCTCCTTCACACAAAGTATCAGATTTAGGATCTGTTTGGGGCAGCTGCAGCTTATTGAATAATCTACTGATAAGCTGATTAAAAATAATCTGCTGATAAATAGCTACTACAAATTTTTATTTTTTTGGAAAAGCTAGACTGCAGCCAAAAAGTTGTCACCACACCTAGATAGGTGCAGTGTGAAAACGCTGTTTTCAGCGTTTTGAAAACACATAAGCTACCAAGTCGCAGTTTACCCAAACAGACAAGATGTGTTTTCAAAACGCCACCGCACCAAATAAGCTATCCCAAACGGACCTTTAGTTGATTAAATAAATCATATTTATTGTTTGACGTAAATTCAAGCTGCACCCAAACACCATCTTAAAGGAAAGATGCAAAAACATTGGAATATAAATGTATATTTAAACTATTCACGCCTTTTGATAGTGTTTTAAGAAAATAAAAATTCACCCAATTATCTGTATAACAATAAATAAAATAATTAAATACCTTATAGAATTGTCGAGTACATATAAAAAAAAGATTTTTATTAGCGTTCCTTAATATCAATGATAAGAAAATTGATTTACATATTGTTTTTATGGTTATTTTTAGAGATTCGGAGTCATCAACTTGTCAATTTATATTTTGTCGTATAATTATCTTATTCAAATAAATCTCCCTCTTAAATCATATAAATGATTTGAAGGGGAGAAAATACAAATATAAAGGAAATACGACAATAAATAGACAAACGAATAAAAAGAAACAAGCAGATAGCTTATACATGAGTAATCCTCTTATGATGGGTCGAGAATATACGTGCGAACAAGATTTGATTGAAGTACCTCAAAACACAACATTTATGAAGAGAATCTCTACATAAGCCACACATAACTAGAGAACTAAAATAAAAAAACGTATCCCTCTGGTTAATTATATTTTGGGGGATACCTAAGAATATTCTCAATAAAAAGAGTTTTACTTATATTATCATGAACTTGGAAAATAGTCCATCAAAGAATGGTTATTTCGTATGGGAACGTCCTGATACTTTCAAAGCTCTCGCTAAACCTTAGGGCAGTCCCAATTGGGTAGCCGCTTGTCGACATATAAAGCTTACTAAATAACCAAAATCATCTTAATGGGGATATTTACATACGTCACAGCTCATCGGTTTATAAGGGCAGAGAGTGAATTTTTGTATCTCAAACAGGTGACAGCTCATCAAAGGGGCTCAGTAAGAGAAAGGGTAGACTAATCCTAAAAGGTAGAGGTAGTTGGGTTGGGATACCACAAATCCGTCATCTCAAGCTGCTAGTACACTAAGTATATTTGGTCGTAAAGGTAGTCAACCCAACATGTCTAGAGATCCATAGTCAGCAATCTGTGAATTGTGTCGTTCACGGGGAACCTCAGCAGCCCTAAGGTCAAAAGAAAGAACTCTAGTCCCATGACCTATAAGGTGAAGCTCAAGAGGTGAAACTCACACTAGCCAGACACACTCGTCAGGCAGATGAAGGAGTTGCCTCAGGAAAGAAAGGAAAGAAGAGGTCCAAATATGAATGTAGTTATCTACCATAGTTCTATGTGTAAAGGCCCTATTATATGACTTTTGTGAGAGTCATGTTATGCAACTCATTTAAAATCCAATCTGAATGTCATGCAGAAAAGTAAAAGAACAAATTTTAAAGTCTTGAATACTTTAATCCTAAAAATTTTATTATTTTGAATGTTTCATTTCTGATTTTAAAGCAAATGTAGTATTTTAATTCCGAAAGAGCCTAAATTACTTTCGTGATTCCTAGAAAAATCACAGAAAAAAACAATGAAATTCATTTCAAATATTCAAACATGAAATAGAAAACAAGAAAACAAACTAAATCAAAATAATGAGAAAATGTCGGTGTCGTTGGGTCAGCAATATATTCCAGAAAAATAGGGCAATCAGACTTCGCATATACATGTCTGATTATAAATCTATACATCAATATCAAATGAGAAATTTAAGATATTCGAAAGAGCCGTTGCTCCTGGTCCCCAGCCACGTGATTTCGGCACCAAAACGCCACAGATGCTATGTCGGTATATTATTTTCACTACAAGACTCCTCTAAGGACTCTAAAAACTACATATGAAAATAAAAAAATGACTTGACCTGCACAAAAATAAATTAGCAGAAAAGATTATCTACATACATTCTTGAGTCATGCATGGTGGGGAGCTAAGCAACACTTGCAAATGAAAGTTTGCATGTAAATCATCACATGCTCCCATTTTTTTATTGTATTTGTGTGTGTATATATATATATAACATGACACCCTGCACAAGACCGACCAAATATACTATCATGCATATAAAAAATTGGCACACACAAGCATATCAAAAGCGCAAAAGTAACCCTTATCTAGAATAAATATGCCTGCAGAGATTTATAGCCAAAGGCGTTAAAAATACTACATAACATCCTAGTCCTAGTGTAACACACCGTCTAACGAAAATTGTCTTAAACAGCATCTAAGTGCTCAGGGTAAAGTTTTCGGTTACCTTATGATTTTGACGGGGCAGCTAAACTGACTCCATCCTAAAGATTCGAGGGATCTAAAACACGTCACAAGAAAGGAGATGACATTTTAAAAGAGGCGGTCCACATATGTTCTAAGATATATAATTTTAAAATAGTAGGATAATACTTATAATAACAAAAATATCCATTTTTATATTTTAAAATAGTTGATTGCTAACGGCGGATCTAGAGCAATCAAATGACATGCCTTAGAGTTATTAGATCTTTAGCACGATCATACTATTTGTTGCTCGTGATACAGAAACTCGCATTGCGCACCGAGATATCCTCGTGGGCAATGCTCGTTTGAGTATCACGACCAACAAATGGGTCACTCTCCTAAAAAGTAGTACAAGCAATCAAGAAGAAATACAAACATGCAATTATACGTCGTAAGCTTCCAAAAATGTTTTAACAACTCAATCTACACTTAATTTGACTCGGATGGGACCAACTTTGTTGTCATTGTATTCGTCTCATCAAGCCAGTCAGTTTGACAATAAATTCACTGAAATTTGAGTTTTGGATCATTTTTAATACTTGTTTGAGCATTTCTTGCGCAAAAGAATCTTCGTGATCCGTGATGATTGTTTTCGGATTCATGCAAAATGAAGTAATACTTTTCTAATGTGACATAAATTATTCGGTTCGTATTACTATAAAAAGTAATATAAATTTAGGTATTGGTAGGTAAATACATAAGAATTGGGTGGTATGTTTGTAAATGCCCCAGGAGCAAACGATATGGCATTTATTAAAAAACTATTTATTTGCCAAAGTTGGAAATTCTGGTCAGGTTTACTCTTTCGTGTGTATCGGACTAAAATCGGTGGCAGAATGAAGTTTGGTCAATCACCTAACTATAACGTAAGCTTTCACATGTCATGAAGAAAAATGCTTCTCTAGCTTATTTTCATATTACTATTTGTCTTTCTTAGTGCGAAAACGAGTCCAGACGAGCCGTCCATCAAAAAATATCGCTATCTCGAAGAGAAATATACCAGATTCCGTTCGATTTCAACTTTTGATAAAAGTATGAAATGTATTGTAAATATAAATATATATATATTTTTATATTGAAGAGGAGATTAATTACGGATTTTCTTAATAATAAACAAATTTTAATAGAAAGAGTTTTTTCGTGCAGCAAATAATAGCTAAAATTCAGACAATCAGCTTTGAGATAAAGGTCTTGGAGGGCCCTAGTTAGCACTGCGTACATTAGGGAGGATATTTCGAGGGTATTGGAGGGTTATATCTATGTTATACCTCTTTTAATCTTCCTGTAACCTACATGTATACTACAAATATATGAAAACAGAAACACGAAACTTACTAGAAGCTACATATAGGTTATAGGGAGGTTAAAGGGGATATAACGCTGATAACACCCTCCAATATTCTCTGAATAACCTCCCTTACGCATATTTTTCTTTTAATTAACACATTCATAAACTCGTTAATTTCAATTTAGTTCAACTGATTTTTTTTTATATATTTTTTTTATTTTTATCGATACATGAATAAAATTCAAAACGGATTCGCCACGTAGTTGATCAGCCGAAAATCACGCCGCTTCTCCCGCTGCACCGCAAATCATTAATCTTCAACGAATAACTAAACTACACCTGATACATTAACGATACTTAGCAACATATATATATATATTTGCAGCACTGTGGTGTTAAAAAAAGTTAATTTTTTTTTCAAAATAATTTTGAAAACTTTTTTGTTTGATTTTTATTTATATCATAAATATAAACAAAATAATAAAAATAAAAAAATAATAATGAAAATACAATCATAAAGTATCTTACAATAAAAGAAACTTCTACTATAAATTAACAATTACCTTCCTATTTCTATAAAAAAAAACCTATTTCTCTATTTGCATCATTTAATTTTAGGAATATTTACATTAATAACACTCAGTTCTTACATATTTGCATTACTTACATATCTAACATCTAAGCTTCAATTCTCACATGCATATGGATTTACCTATGGTTATAAAGTTTTATACATTCTTTAAAAGTTCAAATAATAATGTTTTAGATGTGAAATGAAAACTTTAATGGTATAAATGTAAAATGCAAACTTTAGCTGTTATTTATGTAAATACATAAAAACTGGGCCCTGTCAATTAAATAAAAACCGACACGATGGGTCATGTGTCCCCGCGGCCCCCTATTTAATCCACCGCCCGTGAACAACATCAGCCCACAAAAAGCAGTAGAAAATGGAGAACCAGAGTAGGTCAGGAGTCCTCTCCTTCGTCCTCATCCTCTCCTTCTTCCTCCTCGCACGATCTGCTCCGGCCGAATTCATCCATTCTTCATGCAAGGTAACTCAATACCCCACTCTGTGTGAAAAATACTTGTCCGTCTACCCTCCAGCCGTCCAGCGCAACCCCCGCCAGTTAGCTACCGCCGCACTGACCGTAACGGCGAATCGCGCTTCGGCTGCTTCAACTTTCATTAGAAGAATGTCGGCGGGTGGGAAGGATCCGACTGCTCGCGGATCGCACGCCGGAGGTGCCGTGCACGATTGCCTGGAGACCCTGAATGACAGCGTGGATCGGCTGAGACGATCGGTGAAGGAGATGGAGCGGATGGGGAGGAATGGGAGCAAATCGTTTAAATGGCATCTAAGCAACGCGCAGACTTGGGTGAGCGCTGCGCTTACTGATGAGAACACTTGCCTTGATAGTTTGTCGCAGGATAAATCGGCCGCTGGCGTGCGAGTGCAGATCCGACGGCAGATCGTGGGGGTTTCGCAGCTGACGAGTAACGCGCTGGCACTTGTCAACAGGCTTGATGCGCGTAACTGAGAGGCGGTGTTTGGGTTGATGAATGGTGAATGTGTTTCTGTGCCCTGTGCAGGTAAGACGTAATGTACGACTGTAAATTGTAACCTGGAGGTTTTAAGTTTTATGGGTTGATGTTGGTTAATTTGTGGCGAGTGATGATGTGTTGTAGAATTTATCTGTGCTTTTACTTTGGTGGAGGGGGTAGTTGTTCTTGAATGAATGTTGGGTTTGTCGAGGTGATGTATCTGGCTTCATACTGAAATAATATTTATGGTTTTTGCAATTGGCACTACTGGACTGATTGTGACACCCAAACTTTTTGGAACCAGTTTTTTTATCTGTAAATATTTTAAAACACTGTCTTTATTGGATGAATTTGTTTGATGTTATGGATGCATAATAATGGGAAATTACATTTCAAAGATATAAGCTTTAATCCAAGTGTAAATGATGCAGTCATCTGTTATAGCCTGGGAGTGTCTGGGTCTCTCCAGTTTATTGTCATAGTTGTTAGTTTCATATTATTAGCTTGCTTTATATTTAAATAGCCCTTTTTCTATTTAAGTTTGCTTTATGCTTGTTAGTATGAAGGCGGTCACTCATTTAGGTTCTGTCTAAGTCAAATAACAGCTAAAAAATTATTTTTTTGGAAAAGCTGTCAAAACTTAATTTACCCAAATAAAAAGAACCGTCGCAGCCTACCTTTTATACCTGCGCATGGAAGTGGCAGAGCAACTTTTTCTGTTTTGGCGAATATTTCGGGAATAGAAACATGGTTTCCGCTTTGCTTTCCTGGTTTTCTTTGTTTTTCCCTGGTTTTCTTTGTTTTTCACTTGCAGGTGCAGTTACCTTTTTTGGTTCTTCTACTCCAATAAATGAATCTCATACGCCTTTAAATGAGCAGGGACATGGTTGATTTTATGTTATTGCTGAAAATTTTGCAGTAGGTTTTCAGAAGTAGATAAAAGAAGGAATGAGTTTGAAGAAGTTGAGAATCTTATAAAGCCTTCGGGCTTAAAAAAGTTTTTGATTTTAGGCATGACCTTCTACCCTCACAGTGTGATTCTAAGATGATATAAAAAAGATTGAAATGACCTTAAGAGAAGACTTGGAGGCAAAAACCAATACATGAATAAGATTACCTGTGTCCTTATGGATTCTGGAGTCTTTTTTTTTTAAATCTAAGCTTTGTTACTATTTATTGATATGGAAATTGATTAAGCTGCTTCATTGGCAAAAATCTGATAAAAATTAGTAAACAGAGTGTCTTGAGATTTGTCAAAAAGTAAGCCAGTTTCTAGCAGAAAGATAAGGTCCATGCGAAAGGAGTGCATAAAATGCCTACATTTAACCACTATATCGAAACCGCATAACCTCCACACTTTCAAAGTTGCTATGTTTGGAGAAAATATGTTAAGAAAATTATGATAGAGAATTTAAAATGTTAAAATGAGTATAAGGGTTATATTGAGAATGTGCTCCCAAAAGAGGGGTTGAAGCTGAAAAACTTTATGAGGATGTTATTTACATTCATACCCCACAATTTTCATGTATTTACCAATTTAACATCCCAACTTTAATATTTATATTTATTGCACTCAAATGCTTAAAATCAAGCCAAAAATATTATTATCACCTACTTTTAACATTTTCACATTAAACGTCGACCATCTGATGATGATCCGATTAGGAGATTAAATGTTTTATATTCGACTTATGTTAATAAAGGCAGAGGTAAACCTAGGAAGGCTTGGGCTTATTGTATAAAAAATGATCTTAATTTATTAGAACTAAATGAAAATATGACACTAAATAGGATGCAATGGAGTAAAAGGATTCATGTAGCCGACCCCATTGTATAAATCAGCTTTGTGGATCAATTAGATTTTTAGTTGTTGTTATTATTGTTGTTGTACTTTCAACATTTTCATGCATAGGTTTATCCCGCAAAAGTGTTAATAATATAAATATCAATGTTTAGGTATCAGATATGTAAATATATAAGAATTGTGTGGTATGCATATAAATTTTCCTCTTTTATTTCTTTCACGCATTTGTTGCTATTTCTTGAGGAAAATTTATGTTCATTAGTCACGTATGAATAAAAATTGTCTGCATTTCCCCGTCTTTACGAAATTAATTTCTTCGAAGTCACAGCAGCTTCATGTTCAGCTTTTGGCGCATCCTAAGGTGCTTCAAATTAAAGATACAACCCATTCAACGTTGAATATAGCTAAGGTTTAGTGTTAGAATATTTGGAAATTTTATATGCATACCACCCAATTCTCATGTATTTACATATCTAACACCTAAACATTGATTTTTACATTTATACTACCCATATCTTTTATATGTCATCAAAAATACCATTGTTTTTGCTCAAAAGTGATATATATACCTTTTCATGGATAGGTAGCTTGGCTTATATGTAAAAATTGAAGTTGATTGGGTGTCAGGTATGTAAATACATAAGATTGAGTGGTATGCATGCAAAGCCTTGCTGGCTAAAGCTGTGGTATTTGAATGAAGATTTGACGGATGCATAAAAATAATGTGGTATATAAGTAATTTTTTTTTTTAATTATTCTTTGATATCTTGACTATTCAAGTATGGAGCCAACGACTCTTTCAGAAAAGATTTAAATTGACGTAACTTAGCCGTTGGAAGCTTGAGGGTTGAAACTTGCAACCTTTACTTTTCTGGCTTTTCGAACCTTTAATTCCAACAAAGGGAATTCCTTACAGTCAACAAACTCCCACCTTAAATAAATATTTTTAATTCATGATGTCTGCAACTTATATGATACATTCGATTAAAAAGATTTTATGTCCGAATCAATTTTAAGCCCAAAGATTCAAATCTCATTTTAAATCTAAATTCATTAGAGTGAAGCATATCCGAATTTTTTTATTGGTTCTATAATATATGGATGCATGGTGTAAAAAATGTACATAAAATTTCAAGGAGATCTAAGAGTCCAGAAGAAATGAAGCAAGATAAAGATGAGCCAACCGACTTATCCGGTTGGATATAGCCGTCCAAGCCAAAACCGATGCCAACCGAGTAAAGAGAATGACAAAAAGACGGACGATCGATCTGAATCCGAACAGATTAGACTAAAATAAGACTGATAAACATTTGAGCTAATCACTACAAAAAAGCCAATCAAATGCATAAATTTACCTTTCGGTATATTTGATTGAGGAAAGAATCAGTTCCTCAATATTATTAGTCATCCCATAGAGGCCCCCAAAATTCCTCAATATGGACCAAGAATTGATAATACAATAATCTTATATTTATTCCACAGGCTCTCCTCGTTGAGCAGTGAGCTACCTATCGAGTTACAATTATTCATCATTTGTCTGACAACCTAATCTCGCTCCACTAACATAGAGCTCTTCATCTAGAGATCAAGGATCAAGAGTCATAATAGATCAACTAAATGACAAATTTTAGTCTATCAAATCAATTATATTGATCCAAGGTTAATCAAGCTCAACAGTTTGACAACACCGACCAATTTATGGGTCTAACCGAGCTTAAGCCATACTAGCTCAGTCATCTGAGCCAGGAGCAGTCGAGAGAAATACTTATATATGTAAAATACATTAAATATCATATACAACCTCCATTAAAGACAAGACATATTACTGTTAATTACTATTTACTTCTCTCTGTCTCTTTTTTTTACTTACGCTCTATTCTTTGGGGGTGTGATTTATGGAAAAATTAAGATTTAACAATATAAATACTAAAAATTAAAAGAATACGGAATAATAGTGCATATAATATTTAAATATAAGTTACATGTAATTTACTTGATAAAAATATAAGGTTTTTAGACCATTTAAAAATATAAATAAAACTGAATAAACAATTAATTTTAATATACTATTTAATTCGTCCCTTTGAACTCAAAACCCGTTTATTGGCATTAATTTTTCTATTCCATCATCATTACTTTATGTAACAATGACATTTGTTTGATATGCATATGATTTATTTATTATTTTGTTAATAAAGTCCCTCAGCACCACTTTAAAAAGTTTTGGACAATGACAAGACGAAATGTCGATTATGTCATATCGCTAGACGGCGTATACTTTGAAAATTGAGAGTGCCACAATTATAGATCAATCATATTATTAAGGATAGCCAATCAAAGAAAAATAATAAAATTGATCCGACAAAAGAATGATAAAAAATAGTTGTAGCTAAAAAATTTATGGCCAAATTATGGAGGGAATATTGGGTATGAAGTCCGGACTCGAGCTGTATTCAGGCAACAACGATCGTGACACACGAGGAGATCTTTTTTTTTTTTCCTTTTGCTTCATCTGTGCATCACTTTTATTGTCCGGACGTAAGCTCTGGACACAATATTTTTTAGGAAGGAGTGTGACAAATAGAAAATATTAAAAGTAGCTTACACGCCCTAAAGGTGGAGTTCTATATAAAAAGAATTTTTACACACAAAATACTCAAAATAACAACATATTCACTTGTTTCAAAGTAAAAAATATCACATTTACTTCACACTAAAAACAACATATTTACTTGTTTCACATCTCGTTTATTCTCTGCTTCTCATATCTATGTCCAATCAAACCCCAACTATCCCAAACCTCCTCATTCTTCCGCCTCCGATCCCTAAGTCTCAACTCTAAGCGTCTCCGCCGCTTCTTCATTATTTGCATAGATCTCCCCAGATGCCCATGAGTGGTTGAAGGTTTCGATACCAGTTCTGTTAAAACTCAGAATAATGTGGTGGAATACACACCTTTTCATTGATATGAATGTGGTTATAAATAACCCTTACAATAATCTTGTAATAGGAAAAATAATAAAAGGTAAATGATATGAAAGGAAGGGTATAACACTTAGTATCTCCAATAATTAATTCGCATTAATTATTAGGAGATATAGGAAACAACATAAAATAGGGAAATAAATATCTCATTAATTCTAAGGAAATAATTTATTTACAAGAATAAATTATTTCCTAACATAACTCTAATTCTAAGGAAATAATTTATTTATAAGAATAAATTATTTCCTATCATAACTCCTAACAGCTCTTTATCCTCGATCATCACGACACCATCATGCCATTTGTAAGACGAATCAATGCCACCGATCGAAAGGTCTACGCCACCCGAACGCTGCTCTTCCTCAACAATGACAGCACCCTGAAACCCCTCGCTATTGAGCTTAGCCTCCCCCATCCAGGTGGCGATACTTTTGGCGCCATAAGCACTGTATACACGCCCATGACTTCCGGTGTTGAAGGCTCAATTTGGTCGCTTGCCAAAGCCTATGTCATCATCAATGACTCCTGCGTTCATCAGCTTATTAGCCACTGGTATTTGTTCATCAAATAATCAAACATAAGTTTAAGAATTGTTTACATTGTAGCTAGAATCCTTCGTGGCAGGCTGCGCACTCACGCAGTGATGGAACCCTTCGTGATCGCCACAAACCGCCACCTGAGCGCGATGCACCCCATCAGTAAGCTCCTTTTGCCACACTACCGCGACACCATGAACATAAACGCTCTCGCTCGACAAAGCCTCATCAATGCCGGCGGCCTACTCGAGTTCATCATTTTTCCTTCCAAGTACACTATGGAAATGTCCTCCTCTGTTTACAAAAGCTGGAATTTTGTCGAGCAGGGCCTTCCATCCGATCTCCTCAAGCGAGGAATGGCGGGGGGCAGCCAACCCCCAACCGACCAC